TGTGTGTGTGTGTGTGTGTGTGGACAGTGCAGTGAGGTGGTGACAGGAGGGGAATCTGTCCCACAGGTAGTTGTGCATCATTGATGGAGCTCTAAGCCGCCTCGGGGCAGAAACAATATGAGACCACCGCTGAGCTCTCAGCGACTCATTTACCTGCAAACAACGACTCGGTCCACTGAAAACTGAGCCTCTCCAGAGTGTGTGTGTCTGTGTCTTTGTGTGTGAAGTACTTGTCTGTGATGGCCTCCGTTGGGAGTTTTGGTTTCACTTCTTCAAAAAGATTCATCTTGGCAGGTTGCAGTGTCTGTTGGGGAACATCTGTGAAGACACACAACACTCAGTAGATTCACCAAACAATACATCTACAGCACAGTAAATAAGAATTAACATCATTTCCCCCATATCATGTTTATTTCAGCTTCTAAACCTAAACAGCCTAAAGTTTTCTTTGCAGCACGTTGACGAGAGAAGTGTGAGGATTAGGATTTGACTCATTAAACTCTAACTGTCGGCCTCGTGCAGAGGTCTCTTTCACCTCCTGCTTTCCTCTGGTCTGGAGCTGGTGACAGGCACCATCCGTCTGTGTCTGCGTCTTTGTCGTGTTGTTGAGGGGGGCAGACGGTTGGCAGGGTGATGGAGTTGACCGTCTGTGGCCTCTGCAGCCTGGACACTCCACCAGACAGTAGAGAGACACTGCTGCCAGGTCTCTGGAGAGGCAAAAGTACTAATTATCTATAAGCACATATGCAATTATTGTGCTCTTACATGCAAAAACACACTTCTTGATACTCACTTTGTTAAAGGCTAACAGCATCCTACCAGTTCCATCCATGGCATTAATAAAATCTCTGTTAAACTTCATCCGGACCTTTCAAGAACATCAGCTGATATTAGATTTAATGACAAAACAGACATCACAGCCAATAACGTGATTCACAGAATAAGAAACATAGAACAGGAAGCGGAGCTACCTTGTTGTTTGTAAAGGACAGAACTCCAATTCCCTGAAAAGTTACAAACACGTTTCGTTCAGAGGCCAAAGCTCTGAAGAGGAGCAGAAGAGTTTCTCTCACGCAGCCCTCCACTACGTCTCGACTGAAGGGAGTTTCCTGTGACACCGCTGCAAAGTTTAGCTGCACCACCGGCAGGTGTGTCGCTGCAAAGGACACACAAATGCTCATTGTTCTTTTGTTAATGTGTCAAACACCGTTGTGAAAAGAAATTCTTTCTGATCACCGAGACTCAAATCCAAATATTTACCAGAGGTAAAGGATTACCATTAGCAGCAACCTGTATTCATATAAAATAAGTTATCACCTGAAGTGGTAATGCATTTCATTCAAATGTTATAATGTAGGCTGTCAAAAATGTGTTAACCTGCAGCCAATGGCCTGGTCTGCTTTAAACCCAGAGACTGGAGCAGTTTCCCTGCCAGGAGGAAGATGGGTCGTTGGATCATGGTGAACCTGTTCCCTAGATCCAGTCTCTGCTGAGAGAAGGTGAACGTCCCCAATCCTGCCAGCTGGACCCCCTAATACAAGAAATCAATCAGTCGACAGTTGAATGGGCACTATCACACTGTTTCATACATATATGGGCTGACAGACAGATAGACAGATAGATAGATAGACAGATAGATAGATAGATACATAGACAGACAGATAGACAGATAGATAGACAGATAGATAGATAGATAGATAGATAGATAGATAGATAGATAGATAGATAGATAGATAGATAGATAGATAGATAGACAGACAGACAGACAGANATAGATAGATAGATAGATAGATAGATAGATAGATAGATAGATAGATAGATAGATAGATAGACAGACAGACAGACAGACAGACAGACAGACAGACATACTAACCTTCTGTAATGTCATCTGTCGTTCAATATAAGCAGATACATCAGCCCAAATACTGCCAATATCTGAAAATGGAACACACAGATGTTCATTGTTAAATTTGATGACACTACATTGTTTAGATTTTTAACCAGAAACTGAACGAACACTTAACCAGACTTTCACCAAACTTTGGTCCCACCATTTTCAGAGAGCTGGGAGAGTGTCGGTAAATCCTGTCTGTCCGCTTGTGACACCAGCCGCAGGACGTCAGTCATCTCCTCACAGCGTGAAGTGGAGTTTGCACAAATCCCGTCCTCTCTCCGCTCCACAGCCACTGACACAAATCAATACAAGTACACGAGAGCCACGGTCGGCATAGTAACAAACCCCTGCAGGGCACGCACGAGCCAAGTTTCCAACATTGTGTTGCGTCGTAATGAGTCTGACACTGTGACACCACTGCTGCTGACAACAAACCACTTCATTTTGTAGCTGTCACCAAGGAGACTGCCTGTGGTATAGAAGCCAGTGAAGGTCCATTTCAGGAGCCTAAGTTAGTATACTTTCTAATTATACACATATTTATTGAATTCAGGCTTATAAAAGAAACTTAATCTTCCATCTTGTAGGAGGATGTGTCAAATGACGGTTACTTCTCAGTGTGGAAGAGAAACACTAAAGTTTAAACCTGTACCATGGTGAAGTATGACCTTTACAGAAAAGCACTTACCCATATGTTTATTTAACAAAGTTCATATGTTCAATAAAACATTTCATTTTCTCCTGTTTTTCCACAGACATGAAGAAAACTACATGAATCGTTTCACCGAACAATGTTTATTATGTAGATTTGGTTGAGCTTCAGACTTACTCACATAAACGTTTCTTCTTTCTCTAATCACTTCCTTTAAATCTTACAAACTAGTTTTTCTTGTCTCAACAAAGGTACTCGATTGTGCAGCTGTGACCTCCTCAGGCTTTGAAAGGTTGTTCTGGTTGAGCGAGAAATCATCTGAAGTTCTTTACTATTACAAATTTTAAACACGGCAGATGCTTGTATCTACTATTACAACAAATGTCTAAATGTCAAACACAGCTCGTATAATAATGCCTCTCCTAATCATCTTCCATTTGACCCTTTCTGTTCTTCTCCAGATGAAGAAACAAAGATGGCAGCATCTCAGGTCTTCAGGAAAGTGTCAGATGAAGATCTTTTTAAAAATATACCTGTGAATAACTGTAGAATAAATAGCAAAGTCACAGTTGATATATAATATCAATGTTTTTAGTATATGTCTTGATGTGGCTTTATGTTTCCTGTAATAGAGGCCAGTGTTTTACTCATAAAATGTGACTCAAAGGGACGATGATATATAGTTTTAATCAAATAAAAATGACAAGAATGAGAAG